CTAAACACTCTTTCTACTCCTCTAAACGCTTCTCTCTTGTTTTTTTCTTTTTTTTTATCCACTCACTTCCCCTCCTCCCAGCTCATCACCTACTTTTACTTTTTTAAAAAAATTCATCTTCCCCCACCTTAAACCATTCGTTTTGTTTTTGATGGCCCTCCCCTTCTCGCCCCCCTCTGACTCTTTCCCTTTCATTCATTTTTTCTTAATGGCACCCGAGCTCTGTCTCTACAGCTCATCTTGATCTCTGAAAAATCATCTTTTTTTGACTCTAATTTTGATTTTATTTCAAAACAGTGCTCAAATACGCTATGGAAATCTTTCTAAACACTAATTTCTATCAATTCTTATATCAATTCTTGTATCAACGCCTCTGTCAACGCCTCAGTCAACGCCTCTCTCAACGCTTTTATCAACGCTTGCAAACACCAACTCTATTCATCAACCCCCAACTCCCACCCATTGTTCTATCCCATCATCTCTCCATCACTGCATCTCACCTCGACTCCATGTGGGGCAAATCCGGGGTAGGCGCTGAATGCGCTGATAACGACATGGCACAACAAACAGCGGCCACTCAGCCGAGGGGTACAGGCTACTTGCATAGAATAAATGTGGTTTTATGTGTAATGCACTTTCAATTGATGCTAAAGAGATCATATCTACTCTTTCCTGCCCTATCCTCATTCATCTAGTAAATATACATGCTGCTCTTATATCCCATTCCCATTTTACATCTAAATCATGAATGAAATCATCATTGCTAATAACACCCCCCTCATCACACTCCACCCATTCATCCTCAGCCCCTCACTCGGCTTCACCTCTCCTGCATCATCCTCCTCTCCTGTCGTACACTTGGTCGGTTTACATCTTCTTGTCGAAGTGAGTGTTATTCTTGACGTGACTGTGGATGTGGTTGTGGATGTGCTGGTATGAGTCGACGTCTTTGTGACCCACGTGTCTGTTGTGCTGAGAGATTTGCATTTCTCTCCGTCTCCTACTGTTTTTTCCGCTTCTTTGACTGTTTCTGTGATCGTTGTTATGTTGGTTTCCGTTACTGTCTTCACTTCATATGGTTTTATCTTTAATGGTTCTAATCCCAGGCACACGCGATCTACAGTTTTGCATGCTTCTTTACACTTTGGACATTCTTTTCTGAATCCACATCCTTTCTGTGAATGATCACATATTTCCTTCAATTCTACATAGAGATCAAATGCTTTTGCTACTAAATCAAATGCCTCTAACTCTTTTTTAGTCACTTGAACTTTTGCATTTCTTCTTATAAGCTTGAATTGTGTTGCATTTTTTGTTTCTTTAGGTGCAAGCGATGCATTATTTACAGCACTACTGGTTGATTCTTTGTCTGTTACTTCTAATCTTGATAAAACAAGATTTGCTGCATCCATGGCTTTTTCTGCTTCTTCTTTAGTCTTCTTATACTCTTTTTCTTTCTTTTCTAAGACCTCTTTTGCTTCTTCAAGTTCGTCTTTCAATTTTGAGCATTTTTCTTTTACACGTTTTACTAGCTTTTCACAGAGCTCTTCTCTAACTTTGATGTTAGTTTTGGTGCTTTCTTTGCTTTTGCACAAAGTTTCCAGCCCATTCTCTGCTTTTTTCAATTGTGTACAGTATATGTTAAGTGTATTGTTACATTCTCCTACGTTTAATAAATTACCTTTTAATTCTTCTACAACTTTGTTTTCTAAAGCTTCTTTTTCAAGGAATGATTTGCACTTTTTATTGAGTTTTCTGCATTGTCCATCTTTTCCTCCGTTTTTAAGTTTTTCGCAATTTTGCTCGTACTTTTTACAATATGGAGCCCAAAATCCACATATTTCTTCCTCTTTTTTAGCTATTTCACTTATGACGTTCATAGTTTCCATATGTCCTTTCAATATATTACATTTAGATTCAACATTTCTAGTAATTTTTTTGCAAACAAGCTCCAAGTCAGAACATGCCGAAAAAAATTTACTATTTTCTCTTCTAAACCATTTTTCACATCGTTTCTTAGCTTCTTCTTTACAGCTATTTTCATCTTTTAGATATCCTTTATTTTCTTTTAGCAACTCTTCTTCTAAGTGCTCTATGCTCTTCAGTCGATTGCAATGCTGTTTTAACGTATAACATGACCATTTAATTTCTCTTGAATCTTTTTCTAAGACCTCACATTTTTCTTCTAATTCTTTACAATCCTTTTCCGTTGGAAAATCCCGTTTCTCGTTCAAATGCTCTTGTAAAGCAACTGCCCTCAATCGCAAATCTGTTGACACTGTAAGAGCCGTTTTTATTGGATCCATACATAGTACAAATAATTCATCACTTTCTCCTTTCGTCTTTTCACAGACTTTTACCAAGTCTTTTTGAAGGGTTTCAAGCCATGTTCCATTTGAACCTTGCAATTTTCCTCGTAACCTATCTTGCAATGCTTCATTTGCTACTGCTTCAAGCCCTTTTTTATAACATGCTGCTTTTAAGTTATCACATTCTTTATCAAGAGGACCTTGACCTTTTAAATAAAAACAATCTGATAACAGTTTTGTGCACTCTCTTTCACTGAGAAATGTATGCAATGTATGCCAACCAATGATTCCCTTTGCATTAGTTGTAGCAAGATATTTCTCAATCTTTTTAGAAATAAGTGAAGCACGGGTTGTTAATTCCTTATTTAATTCTTCGCATTTTTCTTCTGGATTATCAGTGATATTTTTATTATTACATAAATCTTTTAAAATAATATGCTTTTCAAAATCCTTGCACTTTTTTTTAATAACATCTTTACATTGATTTTTAAAAGTATTTCCAGCATTACTCTTGCTTAATAATGCCAATAAAGCTGCCTCGTCTTTTATTGATGGCTTTCCAATATAAATACCCTTCTCTGCTACTTCCAAATACAATTTTTTCAGGTTTATTTTTTCTGCTAGAGTAGCCTCTGGTCTTGTAGGATCAAAATCTGAACTTGGTTCTTTGTAGATAATCTTTTTTTCTTTAGTTTTATTTACGAAATTCTCACATTCTGGTTTATCTGGATTTTTGCAGTTTTTTCCATAAAAATAGCATTCCTCAAATAAAGAATATCCTTTTTTTTCTAATTCCCCACTATTAGCTAACACATTTTTTATTTCTTTCTTCAAAGATTTACACTTTTCTCCTACTGCATTTACTAAAGATTTGCATAGAGAGCCTGTGTCGAAACACTTTTGCATTAACTCATCACTTTCTTCAGACAACTCAAGACAAACATCTTTAATTTTCCCTTTACACTTATCTTCATTTTCAAGACTTCCTTTAAGTGCTCTTAAAAGAACTTTTTCCGCTATTTCATCTCGTTTTTTTTGATAACATTTATTCCTCAGTTCATTACATTTATCTTTAAGCTCTGTTGGACATGCTCCCTCCAAAAATAGGCACTGTCGTTCATTCTCTTTACAATCGCCATCCGTCAGTTTTAAAATTCCTTTTCCAACTGCTGTTTCAAGATTTGTTTTAAATGTGTTGCATTTTTCCTGAACTTTGTTCTTTAATTTGGTGCATTTTCCTTCTGTTTTTCCGTTTTCACAAAAGCTTTTAAGTTTTTCATATACTTGTTCCGCTTTTATTGTTGCATTATGTAGTGCTTGGCAGTATTTACCCAATTTTTCTTTACATTTCCCTTCATCTTTAGCATCTTCTTTTGCAATTAAAGCCAAAAGACGCACTTCCTCCTCATCTTCTCCTGATGTACTTTGTGCCTGCCGCTTAACCGCCCGCGCCACCGCCCGCGCCAAGCTGTGCCTGACGGGGGTGGGTTTGCGCTGTGGTGTGTGGTTGAGTTTGAGTTTCCATTAGCGTA